CATGAGGATGTTCTTTATTTACCTAATGTGGAACACAAACTCATTAATAAATTACAATTATTATTGTTCTACCTTAAAAAGGCAGATCTTAGATCTACTTTATTTAGTCTACTTGGCTAAATTAAGACTGTACGTTCACATTACGAGGCTAAAGTGACTCAAACCAGATTTTTTGCCTTAAAAAAATCTGATCGTTACAGTGCTGTGTGAACACACAACTCCGATCTTTTCACATCAAATTTGAGTCACTTTTGTAGTTGTTCCTAAATCCGATACATTTGTGGCCATGTGGCATTAATGAGAGCACGCAGATGGGAATTTATGCAGCTTTTTGTCTATACACACGTGCCGAACGCTGTCATCAGCTATCACGGTGTTCTGCAGATTTGTGCTACTTATCGAGATATGCTACTTAGCGATAGCATGTTTTGTTTAAAATTAAGATTTTAGGTTAACATTAAAGCTTTAAGTCTTAGGGTTAACATTTTGGTTCGGTAAAGGGCTATGCCTAAGATCCAGTCTCTCTGCTGTTGGTAACATTTGTTCATGTACCAGTAGCATTTTTCATCAAGGCACAAATCGTCAGAACACCGGCAGTGCAGCTGATGAACTGTTTGCCGCCTCCAGTGCAAAATGCCATGCATAAATTAGCTGCTAATGCATCCATTTAGTTGGTTTTAATACCATGAGTCATCTCACAAATATTTTTTGTTGGTGGTGACACGACATTTTGAATGCAAAAACATATCAATGTGCACATGCGTGATGCTTTGGAGGACAGACGGTCACGTTACACATTACATCACATTACAGTTAGAAACAGGTCACTTGTAATTATGAATGTTAGATGTCAAGATGGGCAAATCCGACCTGAACTAAAAATCTAAATTGAACAATGAAGTTCAATTGGCTTGACGTGTGAATGTAGCCTTTATCAGTGAAGCTCACATCACTCAAATGAAAAAAATGTAAAAAAAAAAAAAAAAAAAAATGTAAACAGAGATGATGTTGATTTTGCAGCAGCAGAGCCGGTGTCCTAACACTGTGTGATCAAATCTAAACCCACTGCCCACCTCAGTGACAGTGAGCAGTGACGTGGCCAGGTTTTATTAGTCTTTTATTATTTCATATCATTCATTTGTGCACAATAAATCAGCACACAATAATATTTGTTGTCACTAAATAGCACACAATAATATCTCATGTTGCAGATGTTTGGATAAAAATAGAAAATGTCTTTAACATTATCCTCTAAAGACCACTTGCTTTGCAACATTTGTTTTTAATGTTAGTATAAATTTTCCTTATAGTTTCCCCTCAAACTATTTTTCTTTCTTTCTTTCTTTTTCTTCACTCACTTCTAATACAGTGCAGTTTCTTTTGTAAATTAGGCTTAAATATCAGATAATGAAGGCTTTTGGGTAACATTTGCAAACAGGCTTATGTGTAACACGTTCTTTGTTAAACTTCATTATTGAATAAGATTCATTGTTATTGGGAAATACGCCCCTGGATGAGTTGATGAGTAATCAGTTCCTACTTGCTGCAATTATACTGATAGTGAAGTAAAACATCATTGATCTAGTAATGTATATTATTACACGACTTACAGAAGCTTCTGGAGTTTGCAGGATGAAGTCTTTAGCAGAGTAGAGATCTTATCCACTCCTCCATTTCCCAGTGTGTTCTCACTCAGGTCCAGCTCTGTCAGGTGTGAAGGGTTCGAAATAAGAGCTGATACCAGATCAGTACAGCCTCTCTCTGTAATACCGCTCTTACTCAGCCTGCAGACAGAGAACACAGTTGAGAAATCGTCTTTAAACAGCCCGCATGATCATCCATCAGAAATAATACCAATGTATAAGAAATAATAGAGTTATAATGGAGTGGTGAGAACGTGTACAGTGGACTGTTCACACACTCAGAAGCACAGGAGATTCTGCAGCAGTGCTGATTGTGATAAACAGTGTTTACACTACACGTCATCTGTCACACTCATAGTCAGATGTGTCAATAGTGAAATGAACGTGAGAATGTGTATTCCTCCACACTAACCACGTGTCTGGCATACACACGTCTCTAATGGTTTTAGTCAGTTGGTGACACATAGAGGTGGTGCAGTGAAACTGCTAACATTAAGAATTACGTTCATGTCAACTTTTCTTCGATATCAGAAGGATTTGTCCATTTCTTTCCACACAGGTCACACAGGTACTTGTTCAATACCTTGTCATCTTGAGACTAGACTACTGCAACTTCTTCCTGGTCTCTCAGTGCCATTCGACCTCTGCAACTGATCACGAATGCAGCTGTACAACTGGTTTTCAATCTTCCTACGTTCATCCACACCACCCCATTCACTACACTGCCTTCACTGGCTTCCTGTAGCTGCCCACATCATTTAAAACACTCATGCTTGCCTACAAAGCAAAAATGGACCAGNAGTGCCATTCGACCTCTGCAACTGATCACGAATGCAGCTGTACAACTGGTTTTCAATCTTCCTACGTTCATCCACACCACCCCATTCACTACACTGCCTTCACTGGCTTCCTGTAGCTGCCCACATCATTTAAAACACTCATGCTTGCCTACAAAGCAAAAATGGACCAGCACACTCCTACCTCAAAGCCCTTACCACACCCCACACTGCACCTATGTAAGTCACTCCAGATAAGGGCATCTACCAAATGCTATAAATATAAATGTAATATAAATATTTACAAGTCTACCTCACTGTCTGCTTGGAATAAAAAAGAAATCACACTAAAGCGAGAGAACATATGCTGCAGCATATTCATTATAAATTGGGGTTCTATTTGGAAGCTTATAGCATTGCATCTACACATATGGGAAGGCTATTACATAAAGCCTATTACAAACATTAATCTATAAGGTTATCAAAATAAATATACATTTCTTTACCTTTATAGCAATCTTTTATGAAAATCAGAGTCTCCCTCACATGCTGCCAACACTAACATGAGAACAGTGTCACAATAATAGAGGCAACGGTCTGTTCAAACAGCATCTTCGGCTTGACATTAACCTTAATGTTAGTGTTGTATTTATGTAGCACATTTTACAAACCCAATGTCATGTTATATGTGAAAAAAAAACTTTCCACCACCTCTTTTATTAGTAATGCCAGAGGACAGAGTGCCAAATTATTTTCTTTCTGAATTGTACCTCAGAAGGTAGCACCTTCATCTTGTACTCCTTAAAATTTTTGGCCAACATTCTTTGCCATTTCTCCTGAATCTGAAGAGAGTCCTCATTAGTATATTAAATGGTGTAATTGTAGGAGGAGTGAGGGTTAAGTGTGATGCTCATCCATGTGCACGCAGATTGATGTTGATTTGTTATGTGCTAATAAAATGTGCTTGGAATCCTGTGTTCATGCTTTCATCAGAATTTTTGCTTCATTCGCAGCTTTTCAGCTTCATGTGTTCACTGCATTTCAGTATGAATTCTATGCAAGACTTGCTACATGAGGCCTCTGGTGAGGAAGTCAGACCAGACCTGAGTTTCTCAGTCCTGCACTGCTGGTCCTTCAGTAGAACAGAGAGCTGCTTCACTCCTGAGTCTCCAGATATTTTCCCACTCAGATCCAGATCATTCTGCAGTAAGGGGTTTTCACCCAGAACCTCAGTCAGAAACTCACAGGCCTTTTCTGCTTCAGGACTTAAAATTCTGGAGAGAGAAAACACATTTCATTATGATACTGATACCACAGTATGGACCTATATAAACTAAAACACTGTCATAGCAAAATTTGTGAGGTGGTTTGGGAGAAAAAAACGGTCAGATGCCATCAGCTGAATTTTATTTCTTATAACGTACTTTGATACTTTGGCATTAACAATGTGGAAATGACTTAATTTAGGTTACTTGTTAATCTTGTGCCTTCAAAAGGTCTTGCAATCTTTTTAAAAGTTCTTATGAGCAGAGTTATTTTAATCTTGATCTTGACTTTGTTTGTTCTGCTTTCTTTGTATTGTATTTGCCATTTGGAGTTGTTGACCAGGTGGCAAAAAAATTAAATTGTAATTTGTCATATCCAGTTCCTACCCATCAGATGCCTTTCCCGTCACACAACAATTACCACACAGGGCCGCTAAGTTTAGCACATGCTTCATCCATGAAGCCATATCTTTTGAAACTACTGTCACTTGGAGAGAGAGAGAGAGAGAGAATGCTACTCCTCTCTCCCTGAGAGCACAGGCCAGTTTCTCTCTCTCCAGGATCTGGTCACAGACGGTTTTGGCATCAGTGGTGTTCAAACCTGCGATCTCCTGATAAGGGAGTGACAGCTTTTCTTTTGCACCACTGAGGAGTGACTGAGGCTTTTCTGCAAGGAGCTTACAGGTTCCCCCGTGACTGTGTTGGTTTCCTCCTAGTCTCACAGTTAATAATAAATGAGTGAATTTGTTGAGCAGTCAGCTGGATTCCTCATTTTAACCTCTTCTAACTCTCTGTCCTTGTTAGTTGATATACTTAATATACTAGAAAATTTGAAATAATTTAATTTAAAAAAAGGTCATTTTAAAATC